CCCTCCCTCTCGCCTTATTACGCCAAGGTGAGCTTTTGTCCTGAGTTCACAAACTCTTTTGTGTCCAGCTAGACGCAGTTTTGTTCGCCGGACACTTTGAACAAATCCGTTTAGGCTCGCCTTTTTTTGGCGTTCGCCCCGCAGACATTTTTTTGTCCTCTCGTTTGTTGAACCGTTTCGTGCATCGGCACCGGCTTCGGCTCTTTTCCGTGTCTTGCGCCACGTCGTAGTCGTTCTCGTTTCCTCTAGTAATACTCGTTTTTACCTACAGCTTTTTCCACAGCGGTTATACAGCGATAGTTATACGGTGATATTAGTATTTCCTATAACCATACAATTTTTGAGAATATTTTGACCCTTTTTGAGCTGTTTACGGACATTTACAGTTTTAAATTTTTTTAGTTTTTTTTTCTATAAATATCAATAAAGTTATATACTTATATCTGTTGGGCCAAAAAATGTAAAAATTAAATACAAGGCTCCTGATATATTTTACAATAGCAGTTGAAAAATATTAAAAATACATAAGCACAATTTTTTTTATAAGCATTTAAGGATCGAATTTTGACAAAATTTATCAAATTTAAAATTGAATAATTATTTTGTAGTTGACATTTATAAAATGATCAACATTTATAGCTAAGGAATGAAAATTTAAAAATAGATTACTTCTTAATATCATAGGCTGACTTGACCGTTTTGCCCAGAATCGTTTTTCTTATATAATGATATTATACCATTGAATTCAAATTTAACACCATCCATTACAGTGACCCACTTGTAACCTATTATAAAGCAGAGGGACATCCACTTGTCCACCTTTTTTTATATTAAATACCCCTGACTACAAAATACAAAAATAGGTATGGAACTATAACTAACCTTTTTTTCTCTATTCGATTCTTATATAGATTCGTATATTCGATTCACTACAAAAATATTTAATGATATTAGTATAATTATATAATAAAACTCTGAAAATGCCCTATATACATATAAATATATAAAACTATCTATATTATCTTTATTATATTAATAAAGATATAACTTGCCATACGTATCGAACAATTCGTTTATTGTTATTCGTTTATCACTATACAATATGTATAGCCATCCGACAGGTACATCGTACATATAGTTACTAGCCAACACGCCCAACAGGTATATAGGTAATGACTAATGATAATTAATTGGGCCGCAACTCACCCAAAGCCAAATTAGCCAAAGCACGATTGGGCACATTGCATTATTTTTACCTGTAAATGTAGAACACGTTTGGGCACACAAACACATAGCACGTTTGGGTACATACGATAATTCCCAATAGGTTATCTAGTTTTAACTTAAGTCAAGCCTGGTTTAGTCGTATTAAAAATGACAAAGAATTAAATAAGCACTATGCTGGAAAAACAGTTGTGTAACAGTGTCTTCAAAGTTTTTTCGATCCAAGTTATTTACCTTCTAATGACGTGAATGATGGTCTTATATCTCTCATGGCCAATGCACCACCCAATGTTGAACATTTTAAGGATTATATTTTAAACACTCTTATTAATGAAACTAGTTTATTCCCGCCTAATTTTTGGGCAGCCCAGCCATCTATGAATCCTAGGACAACAAACGGACCTGAAGATTTTCATAGATATTTTAACAGTCAATTTTATCCTTGCTATCCTAATTGTTTTGCAATAGTAAATATTTTATTAGAAGTTCAATAATCTTACTTAAAAATAGGTAGGTATTAAACGAAATGTGCAAAAGAAAAAAAGAAAAGAAGACATGGATAATATTACATATTATGTATTAAACAAATTTGAGGAATACAAAGTCGATAAAAATGTTGCAAAAATATTTATCCCTAATTGGTCCGATATTTATCGGTAAAAACATTATATAATTGTAATATAATATATTATATTATATATTATACAAAGAGTTAATAATAAATACTAAATAATAATGGTATAATATAGATATAATATAGTATACAAGATATAATAAATAATAATTTAAAAACTATGACAAGTAATTAAACATTATACTAAAATATTTTTGGGAGACTAAATAGAGCCAACCCTCCTCGTGGTGTCTCCTGAATCACGCTAATAGGCTTAAAAAATTAAAAATTACTGATAAGTAGTAAATGTTATTTTACTAGGTGTTTCTAAATGTTATATTAATACCTGTGTCCTATGTACCCAAAGTCCAAACGTTATTTTTCTAGAGATATGGTGTACCCAGGGGCGGATCCAGAGTTAGGAAACTGTGGGTCAGGAAATTTCAAGGGGCCACTTATTAAAACCAAATTAGAAATCTATACTTGTGTACTAGGTATATAAAACAAAAAAAAGGTGCTCCGCTGTACAGTAGGTTACAAGTGGGTCACTGTATAATGGATAGTATTAAATTTGAATTCAATCATATAATATCATTGTATAAGAAAAACGATTCTGAGCGGAGACGGTATGTCAGTCTAGGTATAAGGCATATTATTTTCTTATCTATCGTATTAAAAAAAATTTACCTATAATAAATTCCAAATTAATCATATCCCAATATCCATTAGGTACTTATAATGCGTTATACGTCAACAACAAACCCTGATACTATCATAGTCCATACTCCATAGGTATATAATAGTGTACTTTAGAAGTTTCAAGTACCCACGAATAATATTACACAATCACAAAAAAATAACTAAAATAGTAATTCTAGGTTTTTTTTATGTAATTTTATCCAAAGTTGAACTTAAAATGACTATAAAAATAAACTGTGCTTATGTATTTTTTAGATTTTTTGGTAACAGAATTACCTACAATGGTGAAATCATGTTTTAAATTTTCAATCCTTAGATATAAAAGTTGAACATTTTATACATTTTTAACTACAATTTTAGAATCATTTAAACTTTTCATTTTGAATTGCTAGTAAATTTAATTTAACTATATTATATAATATATAGGTAGTTATTACCTATCTATATATAGCATAAGAATTTAATACTTGGTTATTACTATACTAGCTATATCAACGTGGTTTGAAATCGATAGAAACAATGTATAATAGGTAGCCAATAATTTATAATTTAAGACCCATAATATTATTATTTTACTGTATTGCTTGGATCTGTCAATGTTTAACTACTTTGATTAAAGCTGTGTAAATATCGCATTTGAATGATTCTAAAAGCTTGTATGGGTGTTGTAACTTAATGTTTGTACAAATGCTATATGATATTGTTCTATGCAAAAAAACACATAAAACGTTTTAAAAATGAACAATAGTTTATCAGTTCTAATGGATTTTTGTATCATAATTTAGTAATTTTTATAGTAATATATAAATAAGAACGCACAGCAAATTTTCACTAAGACTTTATAGTTTATTATAATATTTTGACGAAATAAGCTACTCCTGCCTTTGACAAGCATCCATTAAGTTCATCGCCAATGGAATTAATTTTGTTTTAATTATTTAAACATCACATTTAGAAGCTTAGAACTTAAATTATACTTTATAATTTATATTACACATTACAAGTTGATACTCCAGTAAGCAAGCTTGTTGTAGAAGTAGGGACACTAATTACACTAATTTAATCAATATCACTACCTTGTATAGTACGATTTTAAAGAGAAAGGGCTTAAGTTATTTTTCAACAGTTTCAGTTTATACATAAATTCTGTGTGAAATTTCAAGCCGCGTAATGATACCACTGTAGACGCCAAGTGGGATTTGGTTTACGAGATAAAATAGAATGCGTATGGCAATAAGTCATTTTGCAGAATTTTTTTATGAGAAAAGGCCTAAGTCACTTTTTATAACTCATTTTAATGACAAAGGGCATAAGTCTTATAAAATTACATGCAATAGGTCTTAAGTCATGATGCGAAAGGGCTCAAGTCAAACAGATATATATGCAATAGGTCATAAGTCATTATAATTTGAAGAAAATAAATAAATGCTAAAATATATTTAATAGTAAAATAACAAAACACTTATATATTATATATATACCTATATATTAAACATGATTATGAATAAAAAGTTTAAAAACATTAAAAATTTACAAAGTTATAATGTTTTTTGTATCTCCTGAAAAGTATCAATTTTTGACTTAAGCCCTTTCTCTTAAAAACCATCCAATTATATACTAGTAGATAGGTACTTCAATATATAAACTGATTCTTAATACTTAGTTCATTAGAATTATTTAAAATTAGGTATATAGATATGGTATTATAGATAGGTTTGTAATATAGCCTTGCCAATAATAATTGTTGCTGATTTTAAAAATCGATAGCATCTCTTAATTAAAACGATATCATTTATTAGTTAGACAATTTTAAGTTTTAATAATGATCATACATATTTTAACTATTACTAATTATATTATATTAACCAACTAGAAAGTAGGAAATAATAAATATTTATTCCGTGTATACTCCATAGTATTCTATATAAATTAAATAATATTTTTTTGTAATTCATACACTTACGTCCTACATAATATAATACTATATAATACCAACTAAAAGTTTTAAAATATACCTGTTGCACTTTATTATTAATAAATTTGTTACTACCAAATTATATTTTATTTACATTTTGTTTAACTACATATAATGTTTTTTATCATAAATGTTATATGTAGTTGATAAAAATACAATGTATTATATAATGAATAATGAGTAAGTAATATGCATAACCAAATCAATGTCTGCAATAAGTACCTAGGAACCTAATAACATTAGTATTAGGTAACTCTGGTAACTAATATTAAATTAATTTATTAAAATGTTTGCTAAGGTATAATAAAAGATAAGATAATAATATTAACTATAATATCCAATGTACATCGGTAGTTATAACTTATAATAATATGTACCTAATAGTATATTAATATGTGTAGTTAAATTATGTAGGTACGTTACACCTAAATTAATATCTAAGGACCTAAGTACGATTAAAATTGTATTCAAATGTATCTTTTTACAGCGATGATAAGCTATAACATAATCGTTGGGGACACTGCAACAAAGGTCTTGATTCGGTTGTTTTCTCTGCCACACGACTCTGTATTTGCCCAACGGTACTTTGTCATAGCAATGGCCACAATTTTTATCACGACCCCTTTGTGCATGCTAAGGAATGTAGCAAGACTAGCCAAAGCGTCTATTGTGTCGTTCATCATGGTTTTGGTTATCTTTGTGACCATAGTCATCAGATACGAATCTTTACACGACGTTATGTAAGCCTAAATTAAATATTAGTATGTATGCTTTACCTAACATCGTATACGATTATTACATTTTAAAATAATTCCTCCGTCCCACTTTTTTAATTTCCACAGGTCCACAGTAACCGAAGTTGGTAACATAAACACATGGGATTTTGCTCGGCCTGGTGCGATTCAAGCTATTGGAATAATGTCATTCGGTAATATTTGCTCTCATCCATATATTATTGTAAATATTGACTTACATTACACTATCCGACAATAGAGATTTTTAAAACAATACGTATTAATTATACATAATCAATAATTATAATATATTTATACAGGGTGTATCTTATGTCATTGTACGCGGGGTTTTTTGACGATTACGGAACGATGATATGGAATTTCGTTAAAACGAAAAAAGACGTGTTTCTTTATTTTTAACAAGCAATTTTTTTATAACAATTTCAAAATTTTTAAACACGCAGGTGTACCAATAGCAAAATCAACTTTTTTTTTTCAAATGGTAACCACTATATTTTTTAATGGATTCTGGTAAAGCTTTTTTTTCTGAACATTTTGGTAGTCGAATCGTCAATTTTGGTTCGCTAGTTTATTAACTATGGCCCTCCAAAGATTAGTAAAATATGCATTAATACTTTTAATTAAAATAATGGGTATAGGTTAAATTTACAAGCGCTAAACAATTTTTTCTTATAACTACCATTTGATACACTACTATTGTTGAATCGGTAATCTAATGACACCCTCAAAAAAAAAAAAAAAAATAACAAACATAATTGTTTGTAAACATACTTCATTAATTTTATTTTAACATACGATCATAAAAATCAATATTATTATTTTAATATCCAAAACTAAAAAGGATGGAAAGGGATGAATTACAACTCCTAAGTTCATACTTTGGATGCGATACCAATATACCATTTTAGGGAATCTATGGTTAAAATATCAAGTTTATACTTTATACCACTACGAAAAGAGCACCACAAACATTGCACTTTTTTCGTTGCACATATTAATGTCAACAATCGAATACCATTTACCAATTTATCATTATTACCTTAGCTACCTACCTAATTAAGAATTCAAATTTATGATATTGTAAGAAAAGTAACTGTGATGAAAAAAATGTAAAGTAATTAATTACGATTATAATAATTAATTAAAATAATAATATTGATTTTTATGATCGTATGTTAAAATAAAAATAATGAAGTATGTTTACAATTATGTTTGTTTTTTTTTTTTTTTTTTGAGGGTGTCATTAGATTACCGATTCAACAATTGTAGTGTATCAAATGGTAGTTATAAGAAAAAATTGTTTATCGCTTGTAAATTTAACCTATACCCATTATTTTAATTAAAAGTATTAATGCATATTTTACTAATCTTTGGAGGGCCATAGTTAATAAATTAGCGAACCAAAATCGACGATTCGACTACCAAAATGTTCAGAAAAAAAAGCTTTACCAGAATCCATTAAAAAATATAGTGGTTACCATTTGAAAAAAAAAGTTGATTTTGCTATTGGTACACCTTCGTGTTTAAAAATTTTGAAATTGTTATAAAAAAATTGCTTGTTAAAAATAAAGAAACACGTCTTTTTTCGTTTTAACGAAATTCCATATCATCATTCCGTAATCGTCAAAAAACCCCGCGTACAATGACATAAGATACACCCTGTATATGTATAACTACCTATAAAAGGGAGATCAGCATTTTATATCTCAAAAATATTTGTACCAATTCCATTGTGACAGTATAAAACACGAAATGAGTGTATTTAAATATTAAAACTATATAATTTTATATGATTGAACAATATGCATATTAATATAGCATATAAACGTAAAAATAAATTTTTTAAACAAATTTTTTTTTGGTGGCGGCGGGGGTTGGGGGAGAGAGTAAGAATTTCAATCCTCCCCACAAACATAACCAAATTAAGCCACTTTATATAACTACACTAGGTATAGCAAATAAAAAAAAGTGTTTAGATTAAATAACAAAATTAATCAAATTTTTAAATAATAAAAATTAAGTTTAAAATATTGTTGCTATGTAATCCTTCATTTGTTATTTGAGATTTTATAGTGTATTAGTTTAGGGACGTATTCAGGGCAATTCCGTGGAGGGGGGGGGGATAAAACATTTTTAGTCTTGAATATCGCTTTTAATAATCAACAAAATTTATAAAATGTATTAACCTTAATTGGTTAATGCAAAAACAGAACATCTCATGAATTACGGGGGGGGGGGGGGACGATCGCCTGTATTAGTGTATGTTTTTTATATTATACACCATACTAGTAGAATATTATGGTTTTTACTTTTATTATTTAGGTTTTATGTGTCATCACAATGTGTTTTTGTTGTACGATTCAATCGAAGGAGCAAGTCAAACAATTTGGAACTGTGTAACACACGTCGCGGTCACAATATCGTTCTTGCTAATGGTCGCATTTGGACTAGTTGGATATGCTACATTTGGTGATCTCACTCAAGGTACGAAGTTTCCTTGTTAAAAATGGATAATACTGCATACCTAACTGTAATTTGTGTTTACACTAATAAACGTATAGGTGATTTGTTGGAAAACTATTGTTGGAACGATGATTTAATCAATATATCAAGGTTGTTGTTTTCATTGACAACGTTGCTCACATTCCCATTGGAATGTATGGTTACTAAAGCTGTTGTCGATCAGACGCTTAGGGGTGGTACCGATCCTGTTCCGATGTCAAAAAAGAGACACGCGATCATTACGGTTTCTATTCTTGTGGCAACCTACTTTGTTTCCATATCCACCAAATGTCTTGGAATAGCCTTAGAAATAAACGTAAGATGTGTTAAATACTATATTTAGCGTAGCTTATATACATTTTACAGACAACTTTTTGAAAAGTGATTATTTTATTAAAAACTAGTGGGCTCTGCCTCCTTCTAGATTTGCATGCAACCCACCTCCCACCCGACCACGCGACCCGGGCCTGAGGGCTTAACCACTTTTGCATCTTGAAATTTAACATCTACAATTTAAAATTAAGTGGAATATGTAAATATTTTTTATATAATAGAGAGATATACTTAACCATTTAAAAGTACATTTTAACATGTATGTATATTTTATACATATAATAAATTGCTTATTCAAATATTATATAGTCAACATAAATAATAATTTACACCAATGTTCACCACTCTATATTATATTTTGTCTATACTCTAAACATATTTTTCGATTTTTGGTGAATAGTATAAATAGTATAACCATGATTAAAACTTAAAACTGACAGTTTCAAAGTTACAAAGATATAAATGTATTAATTTATCTTTAGCATGGCATTTAAAAAAAATTGAATATGCCATTTATACTTTATAGTTGGGTATGTCGCCACGTCAGTATTTTAACGAAAGGGTTCCTTAAAGGAATTGTGAATAGTTCATAGAAATCTCAAATACCTACTTTTCGAAAGTACCTCCTCAGACACAAATTCCATGAGCATATACTGATTGAGCAATAACACAGAAAACCATTTTCAAAGTGTGTAATAATTCTAACTGCATAAATAATTATTTTTTATTAGGGAGTTGTGGCCGCAATTCCACTGGCATTTGTTTTACCAGCAGCAATTTATATTAAAATCTCCAATGATTCATGGAAAGAAAAGGTAATATCCTATTTCACACTATAATAGATGTAAATTATTATATTTGAACTTATTAGGCGAACATTATTAGATTCTTTATGGAACATTGTAATGTTAATTAAAGTATTTCGGGTAAACAAGACCCACGTATACAAAAGACAAAAATATGTTATAATACATTTCATGTGTTATATTTTCTTATACTTCGATTAAGTTATAACTTTTGTAGGTACATTTTTTAAGAATAAATGTTCGTAAAAATAAACATTAATGGTATATTTAAATTTAAGTAATTAAAAAAATATATTTGATTAGTTTAAATTCAATTTCAACAATTAACTATACCTACTTACATATAGTTAAAAAAAAAAAGATTCTATTTTATTCTATACGAAATGTGATGTCTAATCCAGACATTACACATGATAAATATTCAGAAACAAACTTTGAAGTTAAGGTACTCGATCATATTTTAACAACATATCATTTTAATTAAGCCCAAGGTAATTATGTTTATAAAGAGTCTAAAACGTTAGAATTATTATTTTTAGTAGGTTGCTATCATATTTAAAATATAATTTAAATGTTGAATATTTTTTGCAATTTATAACCAAATTCAATAATAAAATTATGATATATTACACTATTTTTATTTACTTTAGATTCCTGCGTATTGCTTGGCTCTGTTTGGCACAATAGTAGCTGCATCTGGAATATCATTAGTCGTGTACGAGATTTTGACTTTTACTGCGGATTCTTGTGAAAATGATAGGATAATGGATCACTGTAACATTAACGACACATACCTCCCAACTGGTGACATTATCCAGTTACCATTGAACTAAATTGTTTTTAATACAAATATCGTTTAAATGATAACATTTATGGTTACCTTCTAGTCTCTAACAAATAAATATTTTTTAATGTTAATTTTAATTCAGAATGATTCTTATTTATTCAATCGTATACATAGGTACCTATATGTAGGTATACCAAACTATAAGTATATAATATATTAATATTATTACCTATACCTATTTGTATTGATATATCTCATTAAAGAAGATAACGATAAACCTAAGTTTTAATTTTGAAGTAGGTTCCTATCAATAAATTACTTTTTTCTCGTTTCTCCATGGTTTTTATCAATCCTAGCTTTTTTTTTTTAATTTTGTAATCTTCTTAAGCCTTAATATTATTTCTAGTGTTAAGAATAATATATTGGTATAGAACAAAAATCTAATATTAATAATATGGTATAGTCTGGTTGGCAGATCCAACAATTTTAGTACGACAACTGGAGTTTATATTAAAGTTTAAAGTGGTTGATTCCGGTAGCTAATAACGATAGTTGTCAACCAATTACTAACACTTTTAAGGTTATGTACGAGTTCAATGATTAATATGGTTATTTGTTATCTGTAGATACAAATGTACAAGTGTTCAACTATGTCTATATAACTCATTTAAAACTTAACATTTTGTATACCTAATGCTCAAGATCTAATTCAAAATGTTCTAACCCAAATTTCAAATTAATTAAAACAACTCAATAAATAGGAAACCTAAAATTCAAAAACACCAATATAACTGTAGGTATAAACTATTTGGGTGTACCTACAACCGTGGTAATGCACTCTAATGTCCTTCTGAAAACACTTCCCAAATATCTTATAAATCGACAAAGTCACATATATATACCTACTTCATAATTATACAATTATTAAGTATCGTGATAAAATATATTATCAGTTGAGAGTTTAAAGTCATAAAATACATAGCATAGTAGTAGGAGTAGTAGGACATATAGGTACTGCACTTGAATTCATGAAAAATAAGCAATTTTTCTTTTTGATTAATTTAAAATCCAATTTTATGAAATATTTAAGAGACATTGTATTCAAAAAGTAACTTTTAAGTAGTTTTAACCTTCAGATCTGAACACACTGTTTATTAAATAAAATGTTTTAAACATTTTAATTCAATTTAATAGGGATATATAAACTGTATGACTATGTATATATAGAAGTATTCAGCATGTATAGATAGGTACTTTATTCAAAAAATTGTCTCAAAATATTTTATAAAAATTGGTAGTTCTTTAGACAATTATTAAACTTTTTTCTGGTTATTTACGCTCGTAGGTATAGCTTTTAGAATATCTTAACTTCAATATTTCGTAAATTAAAGTAAAATTATGCAAAATAGAGTTATGAAAACTATTTTCATTAATATTATATTAGGTAATATACCTAATATCTAAAAGGATACTTAGCTGATATCGGTGTTTATTATTTAAAGGATCCCTAAATTCTATGCCAAATTAAATTTTGTAAATTCAGTTTTGATTTTTTTTTTTTTTTTAAGAGGACATTCATTTAATATTTAATAACTGTTAAAACTTTGTGTAATATTAAAACCATATTGCCATAAATATGAACTATATTCATATATTTTAATACGAATTCATTCGCTTGTCACATTGACATTTTAAAATATTAAATTCTATTTATTTACTAAGTGTAAAATAATAACAAACAATAAGTTCTCCAAGCATTTGTGGCAATATATCCCTGAATTAATTGATACTCGTATAGTTAAAATAATTATAAACTAATCAATCATTTATAAAAATGAAATGTGGTATTGGGTTTTCAATATAAACCTGACCATCATATAATATTTATTAACTTTGTTATTCCTTGGCGGTTCATTATGTTTTATATAAGCTAATTGATTTTACTTATTGTGCTTTGAGTTTAATAATCATGTATAGAAACTTATTTATTACGTCATTATTAGATTTAATTTACAATAATAATAATAATTTTCCTATAGTACATTCAATATTATATTGTATTCTTCATTATAGATATTATCATGAAACTATAATAAAATAATATTTGGTTAAGTAAATTATATAATATGATCAACAACAAAACATACTAAATCATTTTGGTTAATTTATTATAATAGGTATGTTTATTTAACGGACTATTGTAACAAAATTGTAAATGATAAATAAATAAATATATAGTAAACACAATAGTTAATAACAAGTTATTAGAAACAATTGGTATATTATATTATCTAGTTTAATAATCAAACACTCAACACTGAGTAAGAAGATTAATACTTAAAAGATCATTGTCTTAAGGCTGAGACGCTGAGTCTTGTCATTTCCTTACCTAATGGATAATATTATGGATATAACCTGTCGTGACTGGAGACAGCAAGCCCAGTAATTATGACATATTATAATATAGAAAAAATGTATTGACATTTTTTTTATTATTGATCGTTATTAACATCGACTACAAAGGTTCATTATAGGTACATATTAGTTAAAACATCTCAATTTTAGTTACACATTTTTGTTATATAGGTAACTATACCTTTTAAGTTTTAATGTTTTAGCTAGGTTATTTCATTCTGCCTACGAATGTGATTTTTATTTTAAAAGATCGTTTGGTTGTTGAGATATTTTGTGGGTTTGGAGGTTTGATCCAAGTTGTGCGGTTCTTTAAATCTGTTATTATGTGTTTGACTGTAATTATCATTCCACAAATTGTACTTATAATTTGAGCATATCAACTTGTATAGATGGTATATACAAGTATAAGATATGTAAATTATTCACACTAATATTCAAGAAATATAAAATAGTGAAGAAAACTCGTTTGCATACGTAAGCTATATATTATAATAGGCCTAAGTAATTATAATATATTAATTAATTTAATTTTTAGAATTATGTATTATTTTAAAATAGCGTAAGAAGGCATTTATTGTAGATATACTTAGTATATTGTAACTAATTTATTTTTTTTTTTATATAAGAAAATTTACAGTCTATGCAATTTTGCAAAATCGACACTATTCAATGAAAATCATGAATATGAATCCATCATAATACAACACATTAAATATTAAACGTACCTACCTACCAGCTACCTGTATCTAATCTTTATTAAATTTATGTACTGTACCTTTGTCCTATAATATTGTATGTAGGTACCTTCAAGAATGTGTATAAATATCAATAAATAAGCTCAATGTTAGATAGGTTAAATTAAAAGTACGATATTATGTGATATTATGTAGGTATGATATTATATGCATATAAATATAGCTATTTAGGACTGCGTTCTTCAATAAACACTTTAATATGAAGACGTATATATAATCAATTAGAAATTACATTGTCCAATACAATTTGCAATCAAATGTATTGTTTGAACTCTTTAAGTTCGATAGTCGTATTTAAATAATTCTAATTTCGAATCCGATCGTTCACACCCATCTGAGCTATTTAGCAATGTTTGTTTGCTATTAGACTTCAAAGTTGAAAGGCCAAAGGTCTGTTTAAGACATAATGCAGTTACAGCATTAGAGACAGTCAATTACTGAAACACAAACCAGGATTTGTGATTACTGGTCAAGAATTTTAGATTCTGAGTGAAACGATGAATGTATTGATTTTACAATGATGTGTGTTTTTTTATTTTTTTTATTTTTTTTGTGTCTGTGTACACGATAAGTAGTCGAAATAATGCTTCGATTTTCAACTTCAGTATCTTGTTCGATTAGAAAGTGAATATCGTTGGTGCATTGGGGAGGTCAAAATTTAAAATTCCTAGTACTTTTCAAAAGCGCCAAGAAAAACAAAAGAAAAATTAAGGAAAAACGGGAATTTTTACTCAAAATCGATTTTTCAGACAATTGAATTTGGTTTTTGGTGTAACTTTAAGACAAATGACTGTAGATACATGAAATATTCACTGAATGTTCATATTAGCATTTCCTATACACTGTACAATTTTGAAAATATTTTGACTCTTTTTGAACTGTTTACGGACATTTTTTTTTCTATGAATATCAATAAAGTTTTATCTGTTGGGCCAAAAAGTGTAAACATTTAATACAAGGCTCCTGATATATTGTTACAATATCAGTTGAAAAATATTAAAAATACATAGGCACGATTTTTTTTTATAAGCATTTAATGATCGAATTTTGACAAAATTTATCAAATTTAAAATTTAATAATTATTTTGTAGTTAAAAATTTATAAAATTGTCGACTTTTATATCTAGGGATTAAAAATTTAAAACAAGATTCCAGGTAAGTAGTTAATTTTGTTACCAAAAAATTTAAAAAAATACATAAGCGCAGTTTATTTTTATAGTCATTTTAAGGGTGGCACGTAAATTCGTCGCGAGTCAATTCATCGCGCGTCAATTTATTGTAATCAATTTATCGCGACGTCAACTCATCGCGACGTCAATTCATCGAGAGTTAATTTATCGCATATAGGTATATATATTATGACATTATGTAATATTTTTAAACCCAACATTTTCCTTCCCATTTTAATACAGACTTAGGACTGTCTACACATTTACTTTTTTATGTAGGTATGGTTAAAAATGTTGTCTTTTTTTTAGAAAGGTCTGTCATTATTAAAAGTTATAAATAGAATAAAATTGTAAAAATTGTATAATGTATAAATTGTGAATTAAAATGTATAAAACAATGTATAATACACTTATACTTGCAATTGGAAATTGTGTGCTATTCCTTGTAAATATTCATCAGTCGTTCTATTTTTGAAATCATAACAAATATTTTTCAAACGCTGTGCTTTGTCAAAGTTTTTTTTTTTTGCGGGTGGAGGTTCGCCACCTATATATTGTTCAAGTTTTACTTTATTTATATTTTCTTCTTTTTTCAACGCGAATATGAATTTCCAAATACTTGGATGGCATTGATTTAAAATTGAAGTAAAACAATTATGCCATCCTTCTACTGCATTATTAGTTCTAGGTAAATCTTCCGAAACCAA